TCCCAGCCAGGTCTCTGTAAAGCATGCCAGGTTGGCATCCTCATCCAAGAGTAAATCATGGATGACATGAGTCTTATTCTTAACCAACCTGGCATTGCAGAGGAGCAGAGTGAGGTTCTGTAAAATGGAAGGTCTGCTCTCTAAACCATTCTGGGAAACATAGGGAATTGAAGACGGGACTGCTTTCAGACAGCGATCCCATCTTCTTTTGTAACATTTGTTCACTCTGTTCTGACCGACCAGTTTTAATGGCAGAGATGGGTGTTCCCTTGGCTGATGAGAAGACGGAGGTTCCTGCCATCTGTCTAACCTTTCTGGGTATTGAGCTGGATACTGTTGAGTGTTTATCTCACCTTCCAAGTGAGAAATTGGATCTAATGAGGCATCAGGTGAGGATAATGAGGGGCAGGAATAAGGCCGTGCTGCATGAATTTTAATCCTTAACAGGTTTGTTGAATTTTGCTTGTAAGCTTATAGTTCCAGGAAGGGCCTTTTGTGCTCATCTTTACAATGCCAAAAAGGGTGTTTCCCTACTGCATCACCACATTTGAATTACGAGTGGAATTCAGGAGGATTTGAGGATTTGGGAGTCATTTTTGGAGGAATTCAATGGTGTTTCATTTTGGAGGACTGAAATGCCTTTAAAGGCAGACTTTCAGGTTCACTCCAATGCTGCCAGTGCCCACGGTTTTGGCCTATATTGGAAAGGGCAGCGGGCAGCTGAGAGTTGGCCTCAGACTTGGGTGAGTAAGGGTTGGACCCAGGATCTTACTTTTCTCAAACTGTTCCCTATTGTGGTGGCAGTTCACTTATGGCCAACACAATTTGCACACAAAACTGTTTGGTTTTGGTGTGACAACCAAGCAGTAGTGCACGTGGTTAATTCACAGAGCTCCAAATCCCCAAGGGTGATGGCATTGGACAGGTCTATGGTTTTGCAATGTTTAAGATACAATGTCTTCTTTCAGGATCACCAGGTGCCTGGTTTACAAAATCCGTTGGCAGATGCCCTTTCGCATTTTCAGTTTTGCAGGTTTTGGCAACTGGCTCCAGAGGCAGTAGCACAACCGTTGAAAGTTCCAACATATCTATGGAGCCTTGGAGAGTAGAGATCAACAGGGCGATCTTGGAGAGCCTTCTTAAGGAAGTTGCTAGCCCGACTATCAGTTACAGCGGAGGCAGAGAAGAGGACTTGGTGGTGTGTGTGTTTGCACTCCCTCCTCCCCCTGCAGAACACCTGGCCTCTTGGAGAGACTTCTTAAGGATGCTGCTAGGCCGACCATTGGCTACAGCAGAGGCACCCACTTCTTTGGTGGCCTTAAGTTCCAGCCTTTCACCTGAGGTCGGAAATGAGGTGGGGGTGGCTATTGGAGTTGTGCTGGGGAACAGGAAGTATGGCTGGAAGGCTAATGGAACCAACTGGATTCCAGAAAGCCTTGGAGGGTTTAATGGTTGGAAATGCTGGTGATCCTGTCATCACCTTGGTTAATACTTAGAACACCGATCTCACCAAGGCTATTGACACAATCGCTCCCATGACAAACATGGGCCTATCCCAATTCGTCGTTGGGTCCACACATTGTGCAGGTCATACACTTCATGCAGTCTTCAGTACAGAACAGGAATATCCATGAGCAGAGGTTATTAGTACCTCCACATTGTCATAGATGGATAATTTCCTGGTCAAGATGAAACTTAGAGCCTGTACCCGCCCCTCTGGGGGTGATGGACCCATTAGAATGGTCCGCCCTCGAAGGCTAATGGAGCAATCAGATTCCAGAAAGCCTTAGAGGGTTTAATAGTTGGGAATGCCAGTGACCCTGTCGATGCTCTGGTTAATACTTGGAACACCAATCTTACCAGGTCTATCGACATGATCACTCCCAAGCATTCTTCCATAGGCCGCTTCTAACCATAGGCCATGGTATACACCTGAGCTTAGGAAAATGAAGCAGTTTGGACAATGGCTAGAGCACAGATGATGGAAGACTTGACTCTTATCTGACAGGACTCGCCATAGGAACTTCCTTTGGTCCTATCAGGGGGCAATGCGTGCAGTGCAGAGATGTTTCTCCTCTGCACGTATTGCATCTGCAGAGTCCCATCCAGCAGAGCTGTTTAGGGTGGTGAGGGAGCTGACGCAGGTGCCTCCTGCACCAAATCCCTTATTTAACCTGACAACGGCCTGCTGTAACATGTTTAACAACTTCTTTGCAGATAAAATCTCTCAGATAAGAGCCAACTTACATGCCAATAATTTAACAGAAACCATAGCCGAGTTGTCCTGTGACTCTGTCGAAGAAGTTATTCTGGATCAGTTACAATCTGTGAGTACCGATGATGTGGACAAGTTCCTTGGGAGGTTGAGGAAAACAACTTGCCCTCTTGACCCTTGCCCATCATGGCTAGCCATCTGGGGGAGGGATGCATTGAGAGATTCCTTAGGGATGTCATCAATGCCTCCTTCAAAAAAGGAAAGGTGCTATCATGTTAGAAGGAGGCGGCTGTTAAGGCGCTTCTGAAAAAACTTCCCTGGACTCCCTGGATATGAACAACTACAGGCCAGTTTCATTATTGCCGTTCTTGAGCAAGGTGATCGAGAGGGTGGTTGCTCTTCAACTCCTAGCTGTCTTGAATGAAACCCATTATCTAGACCAGGGGTAGGCAACCTTTTTGAACCAGGGGCCGGGTTGCTGTCCCTCAGACAATTGGGGGCCGAAGCACAATAAATAAATAAATAAATAATTTAAAAAAATAATAAAAAATTATGCATGCACCTCTCAGCCCCAAAAAAGTCATGGCAAAACCCCTATGGAGATTTTTCCAAGAAAACCCGAAGAACAAGTAATAACAACAATAATCAAATTCATCATGGAGGGGGGGCAGCGGGGGGCAGCAGGGCGCAGCTTCGGCAGCGGTGGCAGGACCATCCTTGGGCCAGTCCAAAGGCCTCAGGGGGCCACATCCAACCCCCAGACCTTAGGTTGCCTACCCATTATCTAGACCCATTTCAAACTGGCTTCAGGACAGGTTTGGGGTTGAGACTTCCATGATTGCCTTGACTGATGATCTGTGTCTGAGCATCGACAGGGGTAATGTGACCCTGTTGGGGCTCCTAGACCTCTCAGTGGCTTTTGACACAATAGATCATGGCATCCTCTTGGACCGCCTAAGGGGGTTAGGTATTGGAGGCACTGTATTGCAGTGGTTCTGGTCCTTCCTTTTAGGCAGGTCCCAGAGGGTGCTGCTTGGGGACAGTCACTCCAGTAAAAGGGAGCTCACCTGTGGGGTTCCACAGGGTGCTACTTTGTCCCCGATGTTATTTAACATCTATATGAAGCCACTGGGTGAGATTATACGGAGTTATGGAGCTGAGTGTTATCTGTATGGCGATGACACCCAGATCTATTTCTCCATGTCTCATTCGGCATCCTCAATGAATGTGTTTGGGCAGTAATGGGCTGGATGAGGAAAAACAGATTGAAACTGAATCCCAACAAGATGGAGGTGCTCACGGTAGTGGCCCCGAAACCAAGAATTGGGCTGCAACTTCCAGTCTTGGATGGGGTCACACTCTCCTCCATTGACCGTGTTTGCAGTCTGGGGGTGCTCCTTGACTCATCGCTCCTGATGACAAATCAGATAAATGAGACGGTCAGGAGTGCCTGTTATCAGCTTTGGCTGATAAGCCAGCTGCACACTTTTCTGGAAGTAAGGGATCTTGAGACTTTTGTTCACATGCTGGTAACCTCATGCCTGGATTTGTGCAACACAATCTACATGGGGCTACCCTCGTGCTTGGTTCGGAAGCTACGGCTGGTGGAAAACATGGCAGCCAGATTAGTATCAGGAACATCTAGGAGGGACTATATTGCTCCAGTACTAAGGTCCCTCCACTGGCTGCCTATCAGCTTCTGGGCCCAGTACAAGGTGTTGGTTATCACCTTTAAAGCCCTAAATGGCTTGGATCCAAACTATCTCAGGGACTGCCCTATAATCCTCCCCATGCTCTCCAGTCCTCTGGGAGGAATTTGCTGCAGCCCCAAAAATCTAGGCTTTCAGCTACCTCCCAGAGGGCTTTTTCTGTTGTCACCCCCAAATTGTGGAATGGCCTGCTGGACGAGATTTGCCAACTAACATAATTAGACAGCTTTAAAAAAGTGGTCAAGACAGATCTCTTCCAGCAGGCCTTTCCAGGATAGAAAATCCTGACCTCAGGCCCCTCGTTTATTCAGGGGAGCCCCATCTGCCTCCCCAAAAACCATTTAGTATATTGCTGCAGTCTTCTGTTGTTTTTATTGTATATTTTTGAGTGTTGTTTTAAACTTTGTTTATTTTTAACTTGTAATAGATTTAATAACCTTTTAAGGGGTGGGTGGGATGTAATTTGCTTTTACTATGTACTGCATTTTTATTGTGAGCTGCCCCGATTGATCTCAAAGGGGCGGGGTATAAATAAATTTTATTATTATTATTATTATTATTATTATTATTATTATTATTATTATTATTATTATGTTTAATGGGTGTGCTTGTCATGTGAATTAAACATAAGCAAGTGGGAACAGCCCTATATCATCAGCCAGTGTTAGAGTATTATCCATCCTCTCTGAATTTGATCACAGTTTCACAAGCTGATATGAACAAAGAATGAAACATGAATGTAGGTTGAACTTGAGGAAGCAACAGAACAACACAGTTAGAATTTAGGTTTTCCTCATTACCTAGTGAAAATTCTTAGAAAGAGTTCTGCAGATTCTTAGCTTGTGAAGCGGTTTTTGACTGCTTTCCATTGGGTTAAGCACACTTTAACATCGATGTGTGTAAAAATCTACCAACTTTTGCAGGTTTTCCCCACCTTTTAAATTCCATTTCTGTATGGGATTTTTCCCATGGGATTAAGTCCCGAATTGGAGGTGCAATTTGTGGCTCCACCTAAGACAGTAAATATTTCAAAACAGCCTCAATCTTTTGTATCACTTACCATGCAAACCTAGAAAGCTAGTATGGCTTAGTGGTTAGAGTATTGGACTATGACTCTGGAGACCAGGGTTCGAATCACTGCTGAGCCATGAAACCCACTGGATGACCTTGGGCAAGTCATGCTCTTTCAGCCTGAGAGGATGGCAATGGCAACCCCGCCCCCCCTCAAGAAACTTGTCAAGAAAAGCTTGTGATAGAGTTGCCTTGGTGTCACTATAAGTCACAAAAAATTTGAAGTCACACAGCAACAAAAACCATACAAACCTACACATATGCATATGACAGTGGATGCCACTGAACTCTTTGGAAATTTAATAGATACAATATGAACTATGATACCTCAGCATGATGTAAATTTATATTCCTTAGCACTGCAATGTACTACAAATACCATGTACACAAAGGGATCTTGTAGCACCTTTAAGACTAACTGTGAATAAGAAGTTATAGCAGAAGCTTTCATGGACTTGGTCTACTATCTGAGGAAGTAGGCTAAGTCTACAAAAGCTTATGCTACAACTTCTGTAACACAGTAAGTCACAAAGGTGTTACAAAATCCCTTTGCATATATGTGTATACTACAAATAACAGGTAGAATATAAGATAATAATGGGCCTTTACAGACTGCCAGAAATAATGCAGCTTGAGGCTACTTCAACTGTTCTAGCTCAGTGCTAAGAAATCACGGAAACTGTATTTTTTTTCTGGGACATTGAGCCTTCTGTGTCAAAGAGCTCTGGTGCCACAATAAACAACAGTTCTCATGATTCCTTAACACTGAGCCAGGACAGTTAAAGTGGCTTCAAGCTGCATTACTTCTGGCAATCTGTAAAGGCCCAATGTCTATAAAAGCAACATACTTAGAATATGTAACACTTATGAAGTAATGTGCCTAGATTGGAAGGCCCATATGATATGATATGATGATCTTCCACAAGGACTGCATTTACATGGAAAATTCATGCAGTTTGATATTTGTTTAACTACCATGTCTCAATACTATGGAATTATGAGATTTATAATATTGTGAAATATTTACCATTCTCTGTCAGAGAGTTCTAGTGCCACAATAGACTTCAAGAGTCCAAAGGATAGAACTATGACAGTTAAAGCAGTATCAAAAGCATTAATTCTGCTGAAGCCTGGAACTATAACTGCATATTCTAATACATAAACATTATGAAGTCACATGCTTGTTCCCTTTCTCCTCAGACTTCCTGAAAATCCAAAGTATAAGCTATTCTTAAGGTGAATGTTGGTGTTGCATTGCCTACTAGACAATACTGTTTCTGATTTTGGTTGTTTAAAGAAATCTAGCCAGATACAGATGGAAAAGCTTAAGACAATGAGCCTTCATTTCCTCAACTAAGAGAGAGATGGGGAAATAGCACTTATTTTACTGTATACTTTTTGTTAAGAGGACATCAAAAACCTTAATTCCATGATCCCCACAAAGGCAAAGATTTCAAATTATGGGTGATCTTAAAATATTTTGAAGTGTATTTACATAGGAGGAGCTTGTGCAGTCTCCAGTATCCGCAGTCAGGAGATATGGTTCATGGTGAGTAGACAACAGATCAGCTTCTCAGGTTTAGAGAATAGCCACTGGATTAGGATCACCTCAGTGCTAAGAAGACAATGGAAGCAGGCAACTACCTAGCTACATGCCACAGTTCAATAGTAAGTATGCACATATGTGCGCATGCACACACATACACACACATTTCTGCCTTCCTCCTCCTCCTCCTCCTCCTCCTTCTTTGCTACTAAACTAGTTCCCAATTCATTCAGAATGCATGACTGTCCAAAATATATATTCAATTTTCCTTGTTTTTACACTTGTTCTAAATGGCTATAACTGGAAAACCTGGAAAACATTGATTAAATGTGCCCAGCTATTGGTCCCATTACTAATAATCTTCAAGTATGGTGATAATACTGGTTTCAAATTGAGTCATAAACGGAAGGATGAGAGAGAATGGAAAATGAACGAGACACAATTAAAATTAAAAGTGTCAACAGAGTTGAGCTATTTAAGCCATTTGAAAAGCTACTTTGCAGGTACTAAATACTGAACAGGAATTTTAAACAGAAGAGTGGTTGGCTCCAACATGTTCACTCAAATGCTGCTAAAACCCTGACCTGACCTTTGAAGTCCTCAATTACTTATTAGAACTGGATTTTTTACCTCTGAATTTCCTTTCTAAACTTGCTTAAGAGCTCATATCAATCTCTTAGTGAAAGTTCATTGGGCCTTGCCATGTTACCTGGATTTTCATTATTTCCACATAAACTATGACATTTCAAAAATGTCAGCATCTAAGGAAACCTGCACAATATGGAGATGGAAGGAGAACAGAGCATGTTTATTCCATTTCCCCCCATAGCAAGTCATATCACTGTAATGAATATATGCATTGGATGTTGTCAACAGTCCAGGTGAGCAAAGTTGGTATATCCCTCTCCATGAATAACATGCATGTCTTTAGACCTTTGGCAGATATTTTGGTTTATATTCAAGTAACTGGAGAACATTGGATTTGTGCAGAACTTTGCAAGTTACTTTTAAGAAGAATGAATGAGTCCCAAAGCATCATACTAACACCACTGAATTATGGATGGGTTCAGCATATCCTTATGTTCCTTCTTTGTAAAAGCAATTTTCCAAGCTGTGGAGTGAGGACAGTTCTAAATAATCAAAGGTACTGTCAAGAAAGCCCAGGGCAAACCAGATTCACTCCACTCACCAATTGTAAAATGGAAACAACTTTTCTCCATCTGCCACATGTTATTTCCATTACAGTGAACAAAATGGCATTTCCAGTGAGTATTCAGGATGACAGTGAGTATTCAGGGTGTTGGGAATGCTGGTAAGTTGGGACAATGTTAACATTAGTACAAGGGTGGGCAACTCTGGTGGATATTTTTGTTCTATATTCCACTCTGGAACACTCTGCACATTTCACAGATTCTCAAAAAATAAAATAACAAAAGACTGGAAGTGGAAGTTTGATTATTTCTCCTCCTCCTCCTCCTCCTGGATGTTCTCTGAGATTAAACAGTACTGAAGAACATGCAACCTCTTTAAAAAGTGCATTGTTATTCCTGAAGTTTCCAGAACAAGTGCTTCAACCCCCCCCCCCAATATTATTTGGGAATATGGCAAGGTTAAAACCCACAAAAACAGTCTTATTGGCTCACACGTTGCTCCCAGGGCCATTTTTAGTGTGCTTATGTGGCCCTTTCACTTAACAAAATTATAGCACAATCATTCCACCTTACCTGTCATGTTTAGTATGAAAGATCCCTTCATTATTGACTGTTGACAGTAACCAAAAGGTCTACAAGCCCTGATCTTTTCAGACATTCACAATCCTTATGACGTGGTGTAATGTTGGGACCCTAACAATCTGCATTTTGATCTTGCACTGAAATGCTGGTACAATATAGGACAATTTGCTTACAGGTATAACCATCACTTGAAGTGAATATATGATAATACTAAGCAGGATTTGTATTGGGCTTGGTTGGTTCTGCTGTTTCAATTGATTGATTCATTTAGGCATTCATTTATTCTTGTTGTTTCTCATCCCAAAACATAGTTGGACATTTGTCTGAACCCTTCCCACTGTAACAAAGGCAAACACTCCAAATTTCTATCCATCTAATGTTCCTTATGAACCATAAATGGTTGGCTTAACCTGAGTGGAAGATGAAATCCCAGCAGTTGCTTTGATTCATCAAAACTTTTCATACATCTAGCAAAAAAGGTTAAGATCATTCAAGGATTTTCTTCACATTGGGACTTGGAGCATTCTAGCATGGCATTTCTTCTGTCAGATGCATCAAGTCCACTGAAAAGGTGACATTTGCATGTTATAAGGACTGTTGGCTTGCAATACCTCTGGGATCGGCTGCCTAACACAGATATAACCTTACTATTCTCTTTTGAAGTTATTTAATTTTTTTAAAAAAAAGGTTTGATTGCCATTCACTTTTTGCCATCCTTTCCCCACTCCATTTATCTTCAAGAGGACATTTGACATGATCTTTGAACTGTTCCACACTGTGTCCAAAATGGAGATGATTATATCCCTTCCATCCATCATTTTAAATGGCCAGGAAGAGAGCTGAAAAGAAAAAGGGAGAAGGATCCCTAAATTATTACTGTAATATACAGCACATTGGAATCCTAGTGTCACATCAAAACTGTGCTTTTTGCATAGTTGAAAAAACTGTTTTTCAGATAATGTTGTTTTGTGTGTGTGTGTGTGTGTGTGTGTGTGTATGGTGGTGCTGCAAAAGTTCTCAACCTAATCAAGAAGGGAGTGGTTTAGTCATGAAACTTACATGCTGTAGCACATATTCACCCCAAAGTTTGACCCACTTGTCACATCATTTCTCAAGTTTCTTTAACCCTTCAAAATTGGTGTCTGGTCACTGAAATATTGCTCTGTTGCTGTTATCATTTCAGAACCATTTGAAAATTTCCTTCTTTTCAAACTATTTTTGAGATTTGGAATCAGGAAACAGTCTGATGCAATAAGATCTCGTGAATTGGGAGGATGGTCTATGTACTCAAATCCCAAATTCTTCAAAACATCCATTGTTCTGCCAATCCTGTAATAAGGGCTCCTGCAAAAGCGCAGAACAAAGGCAGCTTTTGTCACAATTTTTTTTCCTTCAGTGCCTGCTTTCATCAGCACAGCAAGTTAAAGTAGTGTTATGTAGTAACTGTTCGCCCCTTCTGAAGATAGTTATCAAAATACTTTTCTTAATCCCTCCAAAAATGTGGCTAAGAGCTTTCCTGCTAAGTTTTGAGTCTTGAATTTCTCTGGCCTTGGAGAACCTGAGTGCCTTCACTGAAAGGCAGTATCCATATCTCAGTGATGCAACCATGTTTCATCAACAGTGATGAGTCATTCCAAATAATGAGCACTAGATCACTCAGAAGGTTACAGAATCAACTTGTGGGTATTCACTTGATGTTGTTACTGGTTAGCATTCAAAGATTTTGACACTGACTTGTCTGACAGCTTCTTCATAGCCAACTGCTCATGAATTATAAACCCAATGCATTTCTAGTTA